CGTGATGAACACCATTGTAAGGAAAAATACGGTTTGGCATGGGAAAAATACTGCCAACGTGTACCGTACCGCATATTTCCATATATCTATTGAGCAACTCCCTGATGCAAGATACAGAGTTTCGGCAATGAAACCTTTGGTGTAGACATCATACCTCCTACCTTTGCACTTGGAATATATAATAATTGTACTGGATGTTCTTAAAAATACATTTTGATAGTGCATTTCCAATTTTTTTTACCAGCTATCTAATTGATGCAGCCTTATAACTTTTTAACCACTTGCCATTTTAAGTGACATATTTTTTTATTAAGAAACAATAAACTAGTTGTATAGTGCATGAAAAATATTAAGTAATTTGTATGCTTTATAAACTGGTTATCTAATGAGTAATGTTCATTTTCTGTTCCGTAAGAAAGAAGACCAAATTTAGGGTTTAATTACCAATATTTTCTTTATAATTTTATTTTGTATTTTTAGCCTTTCATAGTACCTTGGTCAAAAAGCATCATATAAATTAGTAGTATACTAAGATCCAGTGGAAAGCAACTTTTACTATGTTCGTGCTTCCTAATTATATTTGTTTTCATTCAGACCTGATTCCCTTGGGGATTTGGGCAGGTAGAGGTTAGAACAGGATTAAAATATTTGACTCTTCTGCCTGATAAAAACAGATTCCACTAAAGTTCTAGACAAGATTCTAACGTACACGTGGAAGTCTGTAGTTGAGTGTTGTACATAGTGCAGTTGTAAGAGGATATATAAAAATGTCCCATAACACTCTCATGGAATGTCTCAGGTTTGAAAATATTAGTGGTAAAAAATATTAGAGCTTTATTTAGTGATAATAGAAAGTAGTGCAAGATGTGAAATATTGTACAAACTGGAAAAAAGTATTTTTCCCTATGAACCATTGCTTTACACTGCAGCTTTCCTTTATAACATTGAAAGAGTTTGTTTTACAATATTTGGCTGTAAAATTGAATTGTTTTTCAAAGTTTGGATTTTTTTAATTATAACCATTTGCATATTTTTGAAAAAAATGTAAAGTATTGTATTATTGTGAAACATTTCAAAAGCTAATGACTTCATTTAAATATAGTGATGCATTATGAAAAAAGAAACTAACTTTTACAACTTGGCATTACTACCTCAAAGTAGGTTATTTTGCCTTTTTATATTGTTAAGTAGAGAAAAGATGCCAATACTTCAAATTGCTTTTTAAATTAGCTTTTTAATAAGAAATGGAAATTAAAACCAACTAGATATGCACTAATGCATTTTTTATATTTTTGTATTCATATCTTTTAACTATAGCTATGGAATATAAGAAATTCATAGCTTTAACAATAGTAATTTTACTGTTAAAGTTTTTATTGAAATGGCTGTAATTGACAGAACAATTGCTATTTTAATATATAAAGTTTGAAGGCAGAGGTATTGAAATATTTTTTTCAAACCGTGGATTTCATAATTTTATAGCAGGCAGAAAAAGTAGCGATTTAATTATCTGTGTAAAGCACCCATACCATACATATATGAATATGTAGCATATTCTTTATAACTTTTGCTTTTAATACAGCTTATACTACTTTCAAAATATTGTGCAGCAATAATTACTGTGAAATATTACACAATATAGCAGAACATCTTTTCTTCCTCTTCCATCTACTATATTTTATGGATCTACTAGCTTTTGCTGGGCATTGTGTGCCTTTATGAAAAATGTGGGTTTAGTCTATTTAACCTAATAAGTTGCCCAGTTTTGAAATAGAAGGAACTTAGCACATTTGAGTAGCATTTGGTAATCTTTACTCCTTATATATTTATAGGGGCTGCTTCAGTTCTGGACAGAACCATTTTTAAATTAGATTGTAGTAATTAAATTTGGGGTTTGGGAGCAGTAACTATTACATACATGATAATGGCATTTTTGATTCTGTGATGATTATGCTCCCACCCCCAAACACTCTCCAAAACTTTGGAACTACATTTATTTCTGTTGGCCAGACTGACTAGATTTGATGGTGGCTGTGGCCCTGAACACTTTTAACAGGGCTGGTGTCTATAAGCAACAGGTAGTATAGACATTCTATGATTTTCAGGTATTCTACACAAACTTTCTGAAGAAAATATTTTTTAAGATAACTATATTGCCCAAGGTGTATAGTTCCAATTAAAATAAGCAGCAATTTGTCATGATTATTGTTTTTCTTTTTACATCTAGAGTGTACTTTTAGATTTCATTTCATGAAAAATAACTTGCATATTAAAAATTAGTCCAAAAATTGCACCGCTTTTTTGACAGACTTCTAATATTTATTTGTTAATTAAATGGATGTTTGCTGTTCTTTTTTATCAAAAAGTAATTTGCATAATCTTAAATTTCAATAGAAACTAAATTATGGCCACATTTGGTTATATGCATGCTGGCTTGATAGTGATATTCTTCTCCTTTCATACTCTTCACTGAAATCAGTTAAAAATGTGTTCCCTATTCTCTTCCCTGCTTTATCTTAAGAAGTGGACAAAAATAGGTATCTACAATCTTCTTAGTTAGACTTGACATAGTTAAGAAAAGCCATTGCTTTGTTTAGCATATTAGATTATCAACTGCATTGGCAAAGTTTCTAAACTTGTACACAGTTTAGAAGTATCCACAAGGGAATGAACTACTGACTATTTCTTACATTTTTAAGAGAGGGAACAGTGTAGTCTGCAAAAACAGAGGAGGGGAGTGTCGTCTTTGTGAAATTTCTCTAATGACCCGGTGCATGGTTATAATACTAGCTAAAGCGAATAAAAATAACTGCTTTCACTTAATTTTTTGCCCTCCCCTTGAATACTTCTGTGGCAAATGCCTTATTGGATGCCACTTAAAGCCTACATTTTGATATATGCCTTGTTCAGTGACATTCTTTTGAGATGGAGTAGCTAGCAATTCTCAAGGGTTGCAGCAGGGTGGGATATTAGGGAGATAGAAGAGAAAATGGCATAATTTCTGTAATAAAAATTATGCTTCATTTTTCCCATTTCATAATTTCTCTAAGAAAATGAATTATAGACTAAACTACTATTTGAAAATATTTGAAAATATTCAACTATTTCAAATTACTATTTTAAGTAGTAAAACTGCTTAATAAAGGAGAAAAGCATGTCTGCTACAATTATAGTATTTTTTCCTAGAAAATTTAAGTCAATAATAAGGAAGATAGGTATATCGTGGAAGTGCAGTCTGTGTATTCAATAGGAATTTATCAGTTTCTCAGAATTATAGTATCAACATAGAATCAACATAGTATGACAGACTTGCGGGCCTAGAGTGTTGTGCAACAAGGTCACATAGGGTAATAAGATTGGGTCTGGGTTAGGGACGTCTGTCCTCACTGAGTTGTGTTGGGGGTGCACAAAGGGAGGCTCAGCCAATCTCATTGTACACATATTGTACTCTGACAATAAAGGTAATAAAAAATTTGGCTTTGAAATCTGAAAAAAACAACAACTGGAAAATCTCAAAGATGTGAGCGAGCCACAATTCTTCATTAGTAGCAAATCTCTGTTGTGTCAAAGCTAATTTGAGTAACATAACATACTTGCATCCAACAATAACTGTTTAAGCCAATGCCCGTAATTTGTCAGTATTACAAAATAGATTTCTTCCATCCCTACAGTGTTAACTCTCCCATCTTACAAGATGTGAGAATTGAATGTGATAAAAAGTATTGGCTCAGTGCCAAAGGGGTTCATTGCATAATTCAATCTCCCTTAACATTTCTGAATTTGTCATACTGCATTCCTTCTTCAATGGCACAAAAGATACCTGTTTACAAGAGAAGCTAAAAGGTGTGAAAAAGGCTTTTTTGCAATAGCCATAAGAAAGGAAAAAAATAGGATGGAGCTACTTATAGAAATTTGTTAGGATGGTAATAAATAATGGAAAGCTGGCAGATATCCAGTATTCACAAAGTCATGGATGGTGTCTATAAGGCCAGAGAAATCTAGACAGAAGGACATTTTAAGTTCCTTTTTGTGAGCATTTAGAAAATTTTCTGCTTGGCAGGAACCATAATGAGTTACCAAAAATAAGTCATGCTAGACCAGTACATTAGAATGGGAATTACTGTTTTGCTTTTCTCAATCTCTCCTGGGACCAATACAATTGTCCTGTTACTACAAGTGCACAGAATTAGAGAGAGAAATCAGCTGACGTGGGTACATAACTTAAAGGATGATTACCTAGAATCACTTGGAAAAGCAATGACATCCTTCTCTTGGTGTTGGAGAAGACTCCTGAGAATATAATGGACAGCCAAGAACAAATCAATGGGTATAAAATCAACCTATAGTTCTCAGGTACAAGTGGCCAGGCTCAAATTCGCCTACCCTGGATACATGTGAAGATCTAACTCTAGACTCTAGAGTCTAGAGAATGCTTTTATGCTGGGAAAGATGGTGTGATGGCTCGGGGTGTGGTACAAAGGCAACACAATCGGTTAAGCAGATAAGTCCCTTTATTTTGAGAACATACAAGTCCTATTATAAAATTACTCCTAGTAGCTTGCCCATTCATTTATTAAAATAGTAATAGTGGGAAATTAATTAGGAAGCGCAAATGTACCAGAGAGTTATCTGTCAACTGCTTTTAACCTTGCTTAAATTTTACATTCCAAGCACTATCCAAATACACTGGGCTGCAGCCATCAATCATTAATATTTTTAAAGGAGGATTGAACTTATTTGGGATGCAGAACATTCTTAGAAATAAAAATCTCTAGACAAAATGCCAATTTACAAATCACTGCACACACTCATTTTAATTAATGTATAATGATTGAATAAAGGCAAAAAACAAAACCATAATCTAAAATGAGTTTGCATATATTGCATGGGAAACAAGTTTATTGATTAAAGCATTAAAATTAAAATTAAGTTGCATCTGATCCTAGACTGAAACAGTAAAATATTCATTTCAAATAAGGGACAATAATATTTTATATTTCCTAATCGTCCAGTTGACATAACAGTGCAACTCCTCTCATTATCCAGTGGCTAGGAGTTACCAGACTTGGCAGATTAACTTCAGTTACAAAATTTATAGATTCACCCATAGAAGACAGTATTCCTGTTCTTTGAGGTGTCTTGTATAAAGGACATTTGTATAAAAGCTGGTCTTCTTCACCACAGTAACTTGGACTGAAGGTAATCTAAAAATAATTAATTAAAATATTAATAATCTCAATTTCTACATATTAAATAGTTGTACAACTAAGGACCAGTAAAGAAGCAAATCACAGTGGTCATCTGGGACCAGCATGTGTAATAATAAAGGAACAATTTAAATATATATTGCTTTTTGAGAGATGGGGTTCAAACAAGGTTTTTGCAAGAACTTTGGAACATCCTGTAAATCAGTTTATGCTCCCATTATAAATACAGTATATTTTAAAAAGCAGCCACTGTACCAAGTTTAATTATTCCAAAACACAGAACAATAGTATAAAATATTGATACTATTGATACTAGGCCCAACACAGCATGGCATCAAATAGTCATTCACGCCTTAGTAATATAAATGGATGTCTGTAATGTACTCTAACATAGGACTGCTCTCAAGGCAATTCAGCTAGTCCAAAAAATGACAACATGGGCAGTGCCAAATTTCCATGTGACCCCCCCCCCCCCCCCCCCCGTTCCATGAGATGCAGTAAATCAAGGTGCTGGTTATCATCTATAAAGCCCTTTTTGGCATTATACCAGTTTCTGGCTTTTTCTGTCTATCTGGTATGATCTGGCTGAATAGAGATCTTACAAATCCCAATAATGACATAACGTCATCCAACAGGACCCAGAAAGTGTGCCTTTTCAAAATTATTGCAGGGTCTGACCTCAGAAATCCAGAAGCTATTGTAGACCTGGATAGTCTCCTAGACTTTGAGGCAGGCTGCAGATGGAGCCCTTGCTGAATGAATTTGTTTCATTCAGGTTATCATTTCTCCCCCTTCTTTGGCATTGTCCTCACTGGAAGAGAAGTTGTTCTCGTATGGTCTGGAAAACTATAGATAGATTTCCTTCTTAGTCAAAGCTAAATTTAATTTTTGGTGTTCCTGAATAAATCTTGTCATAAATCCAAACAGCACCCGCCCCTAAAATGCCCTTGCTTTTATAAAATTGCTTCTGTAAATTAGGGAAGAGGCTTCTTGTTGTACTAATGTATCAAGGTGAGACATTTTTACATAGCCAAAATATGCTGACTGTAGAAGAGGAAGAGAACAGTAGTTGAGATAACCCCCTTTTCCCCAAGTCAAGTTAATTTGTATTTGATGCGGTTGACTAATTGAATAGAATTTAACAGTGGAAAACTGAAGGCATAATAGAGTTAATATGTGATGAGCATATCCACATATTCATTCATATTAGTGAATGAAATATAGGAAATTTCCAAGAAAAAAGAATTTATCACAGCTGGCCAGTGAAATTAAAGCCAGGAAGAAACCAAAAGTTAATCTGACAGAAGACAACCTACAATTCCATTTATTGGTGATACCATAGCAAAGTAAAGATTAAAGAAGGCCAAAAATGTAGTAAATCAGAGCCATAAATTGCTTGCATGATTCTTAAATAAGAAAACAGTGGGACAGTGACAGAAAATTGTAAAAGATCACACTACATCTATATTCCAAATACTGATAATAGGCATTTACTTCAGGAATTGAAAATACTTGATGAAGAGAGCAATAGCAATACCACTTAAACTTATATGCTGTTTCACAGTGCTTTATAGCTCTCTAAGCCAGGGGTGTCAAACTTGCTGCCCGTGGGCTGGATGCGTCATGCGTTGGCTACGCCCACCCCGGTTTAAAGAAGGGGGAAAAGTCACGATATGTCACGTGACGATACTGTGATGCTGCGACTTTGAGTGGTTTACAGAGTCAGCAAACTACTGTCAATCAGCAGTCAGCAGAAGTAACTTGCAATATTGTATTCTTACCACTGCATCATCACAGCTCCAGATGCTTGATACCAGAATATTTTACAATTAGAAAAAAAGATAGATCTACCTCTAAATCTGCTTAAAATAAGCAGATTATTAAAAATCAGCAAAAGCATAAAAGAAAAACTGATGCTGAGAATACTTTTGCTTCTGAATCAAATTACTACTTTAAGAGTATAAGAAAAAATAAAGATAAAATAAAAATATTAAAAAAATAATAATAATAAAGAGTACATTTGCAGAACCTCTGTTCCAGGCTACAAAAGAATAACATAAGTACCATGGAAACCTGGAAAACGTTCTACCTTGCCCTCATATCCTATAACCACAAAGATACTTTTAGCTCTTGATTTCAGAATTCAAATATGGACAATATATTTGTGCTACTAAATAAAGATAACAATGACATCGTAGGGGGTAGTTGGAAATAATGTATGCAAAATATGTCATTTTAATTAAAACAAAAAGGGTTAATTAAACCTGAATAATCAAAATAGAAAAATGTCATACCAAGATAGTGAAACTATGCTACTCACACTTTGTGGTAAAAATTGGATATCTGGTAGTGGATAATATCTTCTATGAAGTTCAGGTTCATCCAATGCCTGTGTATTGGGATTCCAGCCTGCACCATCTATGTACAAGCCGTAAATTTTAACTCCAGTTTCATACTGAGAATGTTCCTAAAAGATAGATACTGTTGTGGAACGAGTTGAAGATTTAACCAAAAAAAATAAAACCTGGTCTTTTTCAGAGAGCTACACGTGAAGATGACTAAGCTCATTGCATCTATTAGTTGTGTGTTAAGGAGATAGCCATATAAATTCCAGTAATAAATAAGCAAATATATAAGCCAATATAACCAGGGGTGGGATTCTACCAGTTCGCACCTATTTGCTAGAACTGGTTGTTAACATTCTAAGCAGTTTGGAGAACCGGTTGTTAGAAGAAATTACTGGCCTAATCCTGTAAGAAAGGCAGGAAGGAAACATTCTGGTGTTGCTTACACAAACTGCCTGTTAACCCTTATTACATTCTTGGCAGGACTAGAATTCCTGTCTCAGGAATGTCTCTGGAGTTTTTTTCCCCTTCTTTGCTGGTACTTTGCTTGTGTGGAGTGACCATTCAAAGTTACAATGGCACTGAAAAAAGTGACTTATGATCATTTTTCACACTTATGACTGTTGCAGCATCCCCACAGTCATGAGAGGCCAGGCGAGGAGATGGTGCCTCGATGTGAGTGATATTGAGTTGGCCACGCCCAGCCAATAACATGACCACCAAGCCACGTCCACCCAGTCACATGACCACCAAGCCATGCCCAACTAAGCCACGCCCACAGAACTGGTTGTTAAAAAAATAGAATCCCAATCCTGAATATAACCCTTTTAAAATAAACCGTATTACTTCATAAAATAATGATTTGCTTTAGAGAAATGGTATGTTAAATCCATTTCCTATCTGAGTTTACCTGCCTATAATTTTCCTTGCAATATCTTTATCTGATTTCATCGTACATAATTTCATAAATATATTCCAGATGTTTATATATATACTTTTGATATGTAGCCAAAGTTTAGGCATATATAAAACTATCATACATGATATTCGTATGAATGCCTGCATTTTGGCTACATTACAAAAGATATTCCATATATTCAACAGTCAATCAGAATAAAGAAACTTGGTTCCAATCCCATTCTTACCTTAAAAGCTTTGTTTAATATGCTTTCCTTTCTATTGAAGCTGAAATCTTCATCTTGAGTTAAAGGAAGCACTTTATGTGTAAAAGTAAGTGAATCCACTGTTACTTTATTCAATCGAGCATAATTCTGACACACAGCAATAAGAAATCCTTCAAGAACAAAATACACAGATTGTGCACTTTACTTGTAACCACTATTAAAAAGTTAATTAAATTACTCTTTAATTACTTGATCATTTTATTCTTTGCAAATAGTGAATGAATTTGTTATTGGATATTCCCCCTACAAGAAAGATGGGCAGTTAAGAAACAGGAAATATAAATAAAAAATATAGTTTCTTATTTAGTCATCAAATTATTAATATAGTAAAAGTAATACAAGATTTCCCTCATTTGTAATGACATCCATACCACTTCAAAACACAGCTGCAGGAATTATGTGGACAAGAAAAACTGAAGTGGGAATGAGGGAGATCAAGAAAAATATGGAAAAAGGGAAGCAGTAATAGCATTACCTGGGTTATGTCATATTGTAACCATTTACATCATATGAGCATCAGAGGTATCTATCATAGGAGATAATTTATAAAGCTCTAAGCATACTTAATACACTTGGAAACATATTTCTCATTTAAACTGGAAAATCTTCTATGGATTCTGTAGACTATCTAGAGCAGGGGTGTCAAACTCGATTTCATTGAGGGTTAGAGTTGTGTTTGCATCAGGGTTGTGTTTGTCCTGGGGGGGTTAGGATGGGCATGGCCAAGGTGGGCATGGTCAGCTGAACGTCCCTCGTGTCGGGGGCACCTGTGGTGGCCCGAGTGATCTGCCAGTGAAAGCAGGCTCCAGGGCTCTGTTTTTGGCTGCGACGGCCTCCTGCAACCCTCTGCTAATGAAAATGGAGCTTGGGAGGGCCATATGCGGCCCTCCCAAGCTCCATTTTTGCTGGCAGAGGCTCCATAGGCTGGTCCTTTGCTGTTTCCAAGGTGGCCCCATAGGCCAGAACTAAGCACTCCACAGGCTGAATCCAGCCCATGGGCCTTGAGTTTGATACCAATTATCTAGAGTCTAGATATTCTTTATAATTTAATGAAAAACAAGTAGACTTCAGTTAATGATCATAATTGAAACTGACAATGCCTTTATTAAGCAAAAAAAGTGAAAAATCATGTCACCATGCCAACTTATGACGACAGTTCCAACAATAATGATGTCATATGAAGACAATACTTCCTGCCAGTTTCCCATTAACTTTGCTTGTCCAAAGCTATGACTATTGTAATTGCATGTCAGTTACCAAGTGTCCAAATCATGATCACATGACTGCAGGGATGTTATAGTAGCTGCAACTTCAAGGACTTGTAAGTCTCCTTGTTCAGCATTGTTGTAACTTTGAACATTGAATGAGTGATCGCTAGGCAGGGACTACCTGTAATATAAAAGCTACAGCACTACAAACAGAGGTGATATTCAGCAGGTTCTGACCAGTTCTGGAGAACTGGTAGCAAAAATTTTGAGTAGTCTGGAGAACCAGCAAATACCACCTCTGACTGGCTCTGCCCCCATCTATTCTCTGCCTCCTGGGTCCCAGTTGATTGGCTGGGTCTTCTTTTGTTTCCCTGCACAGGAGAACGGAGCCAGAAAGCAGGTTGGTGGGGTGGAGAGAAAATGGGATTTGTAGTAACCTTCCCCCAGGAGTGGGGAAGGAATGGGGATTTTACAGTATCCTTCCCCCGCCATGCCCACCAAGACAAGCCTGACAAGCCAAGACATGCCCACCAAGACACACCCACAGAACTGGTAGTAAAAAATTTTGAATCCCACCACTGACTGCAAACTATGTCCAGCATGTGAAGCACAAATTAAAGAAAATTCAAATAGATAATGGATAAATGTCTATGAAAAAAATAAATAACACAATTATGTACCATGTGGAAAAAAGAAACCTGGAAGCCAAAAACAGCTAGGATGTCCTTGATAACTGGCATGAAAGTCAGGATATTCATCAAGATGTTGTGGTATTTTGCTTTGTCTCTGAAGCACCAGTAAATCATTAAACCTGAACAAAACATTAGTAAATTATTACATTTCTCATTACCTAAATGAAATTAATGTATTATTGTATGTTTCTAAGTAGCTAATCAAATAATCCAGTAATTTTTATACAATTCAACTGTGTAATTTCTTCTAGCAATTTTTGGCTCTCTAGGGAGACAATGGAGTTCTCAGTTTCACAAAAACTGACCTTCTCATTTAACTGCAACATGCAACTGATTCCTACATTGCAACGTGGCTCATAATCTCAAAGCCTGGACTGGAAGAATCAGAAAACCTCCAGCCCAACAGTTACAATTTTCATTCCACAGAGAAGATTGCAGTTGCACGTTTCACATCTTACTGTGATGGCTGAAAGGAGTGAGAGTGGTGTGTGTATGTGTGTGTGTGTGTGTGTGAGAGAGAGAGAGAGAGAGAGAGAGTGGGAGGGAGGGAGAGAGAGAGAATTTAAATCTGAGATGGAGAAGGTAAAGATCCAAGTGACGACCTGCCTATCCTTATAATCCCCAATATCAATTCTCCTATTATATGTAGCGTACATTCATTGAATTCTACTAAATAAATGGAAACTAGTTATAAAATTAAATGCAAAATTAATACAATCAATTTAAAAGCATACTTATACATTTTGGATTTTAACATCCAAAATGATAAGCTGATTACCAGAGAAAAATAAATGATTAAAATGGTATAACTTGCAACCAGCTTCTAAATGAATGCAGTCACATGTGGATTAGCACTTGTGCCTTGGACACAGTAAAAATCTGCTGCTGCAATCAAGATAATATCTATGGTTCTATCATATTAAGGCAGGATCCAAATGTCTGAGAATGCCATCCAATTTGTAGAACATTCTAACAGATATGTGTAGAAAATTCATTTTGCAAATGCCAATTTTTATATAACATTTTGCTATCATTTTAACAGTTCTACTCCTGAAATCAAATGCAGGATAACTTAGGCCAGATTGCAATGGTTAAGATGAATAAGATCTGGAAAAGCAAAGCTATTGACATAACTACAAAAAGCTAGCCAATTGGAGCAATAATCTTCCCTATAATGATGCTTGGGTGGGAGAGTTGGACATTAAGAATGGCTGATCAAAGAATTGACACCTTTGAACTGTGGTGCTGGCATAAATTATTGTCTATAATCTTGATGGCAACCTATGGCACATGTGGGCATGTGCGCTGCCGCCAGCTGATCTTCTGGTTTCCGGCACACGCATGCGCATCAGCCAGCTGGTCTTCGGGTTTCTGGTGCTCCAGTGTGTGTGCACACGTGTTTTCCGGTTTGGGCACTCAGTGCCAAAAAGTTTCACCATCACTGGATAGCCAGAGTAACACCAACCATAGCATCAATTGTGCCTACCGTCCCTGTCCTATTGTTTTTTTATTTTTCTTATAAGTATCTATCTCATGTATTCAAAATTATATTTATTCTTATACCTGTATCTTGTAAGCGATTGACAAATCAAATAAATACTAAAAATAAATACTAAAAAAAACCTAACAGGCAGATGCTAAATCATATAAAACCAGACACATTACTAGAAGCTAAAACGACAAGACTACATTCGATTTAGTTTGGTCATGTCATGCATGCAAATTCATTGGAGAAGTCAGTGATGCAACAAGAAGAAGGGGCAAGCAAAGAATATTCTGGCTTGATAACATCAAAACTGATACAAAGTTGAACTTCTAACAACTGAAAGAAGCTGTGCTTGACAGAATAGCATGGAGAGCCCTTGCCTATAAAGTCACCAAGACTTAGACAAGACTGAATGATTAAACAAGCATCAGCTTTCTGGAGTTTTTAAGTTTAGCTGAAACCATTCCTGGAGACTTTACCCACAATAAATGTTGCGTAAGACATATGTATTTGTATGTGCACTGGCCAGAATCACATTTCAATAAAAGGCAGATACAAAAAAATTAATAATAATGATTAAAATTAATTATCTGTAAAACAGGCCATTCTCTGTATAAAATTTATTGTTCTATCGTTATGGATACACACATACACACAAACACACACCATCCTTACATAAAAATTCATAAACTTCGTTTCTTTTCTTCCACGAACAACAACAAAAAGAAAGAAAGAAAGAAAGAAAAAGAAAGAAAAAAAATGTAGGAAAAAATAGGGTGTTAATGATGCGCTGCACTGGGAAGGAAGAGGAGGAGGGAGAATAGTGAAACAATAACATCAGGAAACAAAGTAACTGAAAAAGAAAAGATGTTACTATGCATTTTATTATTTTTGAAATATAGCTTCCATTTAAAAGGCAAGATGCCCTTTTAGATTGACGAAAACAAAGGATAACCCTCTCCATGTCTGAAAATCAGCTGAGATAGTTTTCTAAAGAGAAGGAGAAATATCCGTGAAAGCATGCAACAAAAAATTGTGGGTTCTATCGACTCATTCTTTTAGTATTTTCTGCTCCCCAACAAAGTTGCTGACTTTGCCTGAGGCAAAGTCCACTTCAAGGTAATGAATTTTGGGGGGAAGAAAACTGTCTTCATTTTAAGTAACTATAATGTCTTTGACACTGACACCCAAAGTTGAGTTATATTGTTATTATTACCTTGCTTGCATAAAGGTGATAATACGATCAGCCCACATGGCAAAGAAATTCACTTGTATAATGAGATCATCAATCCAGGATCCTAAAGGTTTATTTGTCTTAAAAGAACTTTGCTGTACAAATTTACAAAAGAATGTAATGAAAGATAAAGTATACTTGCATTTTTTTAAAAAAGTACATTAATATGCATACAAGACATAAACAATAGCAAATTGTTCTACTTCAATAACAGACAAACAGACATCATTGGATCAGATAACATTATTAATTTATGGTTGATACTCCTGTTAAACTGAGCACAGGAAAATATAAATTAGAATAATTTTTAGGAAAATTCTTTTATTTCATCATTCATTTTATATGGCCATCCATCTCACTATTATTTCTCTAGCAAATTAGAAATAGAACCAACAACAAAAATAAAATATGTAAATGGCAGCCATGATAAAACAACTGAACATAACTATCTAGTGAGCTCTAACTGAAAATTAACTTTGCAAGTTGCAGTCGTTGCCATTTTGCCACTAGATCCAACTCAAAATGCTGGTTGCTAGCTATAAAGGCCCATGTGGCACAGGGCCTGGTTTCTTGAGGCACCACTTATTTCCTATTGTATCTGCCTGACAATCCATCTGGCAAGATTGGTGTGCTTCAGGTTCCATCAATTAAACACAGCCACATATTGGGACCCCTAAAGTGCACCTTCTGTATAGTAGTGCCCACCATCTGGAATGAGATCCTCCCCAAAATTAAAATGATTTCCACCCTACTGATATTTTAAAAGGCATTAAAAACCTTCTCCAAGGCCTTTGGAGAAGACAATTGATGCCCCTTTTAGGCACGCACACCCCCAACTACCTCAATTCAAACTACAACTGGCCTTAAATGTAAGCTACTCAATGCAAGAAGCCTTGTAAATAAAATACCTGAATTTCTCCTCTTACTAAATACGGCTAAATTTGACATCATATTTGTCTGTGAAACATGGCTCAACACATCTCTCCCTGACTCCATTACCTCAGTAAGAGACTATCATGTTTACCAATCTGATCGTGAAATCCGTAGAGGAGGTGGTGTTGCGATCTTCTATAAAAAGTCCTTACATCTAAAAAACATCCAAGTTACCCAGGAGCTTGCTATTCCTGAGACCATTATCTGTGAACTGACCTTAAATATCACATTTCGGTTCTTACTATGTTATAGAG